CCAGCACATGCTGTAAGTAATATTTAAGTCTCCGTGAGTATTAAGATACGCAGCTAAATCTTGCCATTTGAATATCGCTTTTGTATGATTAAATGTACACATTCAAATGAATACACCAGATTTAAGCTCCTGTCTCTCTGCTATTCCTTATTATAAAAATCAGTACTTATCATTATTGATATATGAATATTAGCTTGTATTCCAAATTAAAGTTGTACAATAAAAGAAAAAACTCGGAGGGGAGAAGAAAGTTCTACCTGAAAAATGAACTCCACGGAATACCAGTCAACAGGTTAACTCCAAGCAGTGTGCTCTAAGCTGCATCACCACTTCACTCTGAAGAACACGCTGAAGGGAGGAATTCCTTTCTCCTTCTGAAATCACAGAAAAGGACGGCAAGAAATCCTTGGCCATTGGCTTGATGCAAAGCCTTCCCGAATCAAATGCAAGTCTTCCTTTCGGGTCAGTTTTTGTCCTGCCCTCCACGCTGACTGACTGGCAGTGCACGCACACACGCACACAAAATGGAGGTGCAGGGGAGCGGAGGGCTCCCTGCCAGCGTGACCGGAGCTGGGGGGAACGGGAGCAGCTGAGCAGGCAGCTAGAGCAAATGTACTCATTTACACTCATTTACTCTAACTACATCCAAATTAACCTGTGAAACATTCCCTTTGGGCCTGGCAGGCTGCTGAAGGCAAAGGAACATTTATCTTTCCTGCGGACACAGTAACTGCTAGGCTCACACCATCTCGTGGAGGGCTCCCATCCTTCGTCTCTCCATCTCTGCATGGGTACCAGAGTTCCACGTTCTCAAAGGCCTTTCTGTAACTCCATGCCATGGCAATGCCATCCTGACATGCAACCACATAGGCACAGGCAGCCTCTCTTGAAAAACTGAGTCTGACAATTACATCATTTTGTCTCAAAATGATTTTTCCTGTTTTTACAACAAGCACCACAAGCACTATCCTGTTTCCCTAATGAAGCACAGTTGATTTTTGCACAGATGGTATAGGCAGGATAACGCAATTTCTTAATACCATTCCAACTAGATAATATGGCCATCAGAAAACACTCACCTTTTAACTTTCAAACTATTATCACGACTCAACAGAAGAGTAGCTACAGAATAGGGAAAGTAAATTCACAGGGCTGCTTTGCAAGCTGCAAACTACTTCCATTGTACTCAGGAGATTTAGGGAACAGAGATACTGGGCCTCCCTCAGTGAAGCAGAGGAGTATGTCCCCGCCTCTGCCCTTTCTTCCTTATCTTGCACAACAGGTGGTTTGATTTCCAAAAGCATTCAGTCAAAGGCTTTGGTATGAACGCATTGGACTCTGCTTCCAATAAGCAGCAGCAACTAATGGCAAAGTGCACGTAATAAGGTAAACAATAAATATCAAACTGGTGAAATAAAAAAACACAGTGCAACAAAGACAGGGATTTAGAAAACTCTATAGGTGTAACTTGATTAAAAATAATACAGGATTCTAAAATATGCAATTGTGTAAGAAAGAAACCACAAGATAAACTCCTCCAAAATATCTAACAATTTACCATAAAATAGTTGCTTGAACATTCAACCAACTATTGCTTCTTCTGCTGACCATAAAACATAATAAATATCTGACCCTGTCTGCGGTAGTTCTGTGACTTTATAGGACTTCTGGTGTTAATTCCGAAAGACTCCTCATAAAATACCAGGTGCAACGTATCCCAAGAAGTCTATTGTATTTGAGGGAAAAAAGTAACGGGATAAAAGGAATAAGTCAAATCTGAAGAAAAAAATTAAACCAATTAATTCAACAGAATTGGGATTTGTATCTTACAAGCAGTTCAGGCCTGACAAGTTGCTCCCCAGCAGGGATTCTTCGCTGTCCAATTAGCAAACCTATTAGCAGTTCTGTCCAAATTGTCAGCTAAATACCCTGGAAGAAGTTAGTGATGGACTGCTATGAGAAGCTGAGAACCAAGAGGGAAAAGTAAAAGAAAAAAGTGAAAAGGGAGAGAGGCTGGGAGACAGAGGCAGGGGAACCCCTCTGTCCTGGCAAGCCCTGCTCCTGCCAGCAGCCCCCAGCAGTGGAGATGCTGGGCAAGGCAAACGCAGCATCTGCCCGTCACCAGGAGGGGTGGCCCCTGGGGACCAACCACATCGGAATTCTGATGGCTCAGACTTTTCTGTAAGGGACTCCTTATATGTGGAAAGTTGTGACAATCTAATGACGTTACGTTAACCTGCCCAGGAAAATGCACGGAAAAACATGAACGCAGATTCATTTACATCCATCTACACCGTCCTAAATTTCATTTACGATTCAGGTTAAAAAGTCCTCTCAACGTATGTGACAATTTGAACTAATCTACACACGTTCTTTGGAGTTAATTGACTTAAGCCAGAGCAATGTTTCTGATACAAAATAGGCCAAAATGAAAGAAAACTTGGAATCAGGCTAACTCAGGCTGAGAAGGTCTTTGCTCTGACCTGCTGCTCACAGCAGGCTCAGCTCTGAGGTCAGACCAGGCCACTCAGGGCTTCATCCAGTTGGGACTTGAAAACCTCCAAGGACGGAGACCGCACCACCTCTGCGGACAACCTGTGCCTCTGCCTGTCTGCCCTCATGGGGGAAAGTGTCTCCTCACATCCAGGCTGGAACTCTTGCATTTTAACTCATGTCCATTGTCTCTATCTTCTCCCCCAGCCCCAATGTGGAGAGCCTGGCTCTGTCTCCTCGATGGTCTCCCCACAGGCACCAGGGTCTGCTGTCAGGTCCCCCTGAAGCCATCTCTGCTCCAGGCTGGACAAGCCCAGCTCCCTCAGCCTCTCCTGGCAGGACCAGTGCTCCAGCCTCACTATCTCGGGGACCTCCCTGACCATTTGTCCAATGTCTTTCTTGTACCAGGGAGCCCCAAGCTGGGCGCAGGATTCAGCCACAGTCTAATGACTGATGAGTAAAGGGGATTAATTGTGAGCAGGGTACAGGTCCCTGGGATAAGGACAGCCCTTCTCATTCCTTTAGCTACCTTCTCCTCACGCTTTCCAGTTGTTGTCACATTTACCAACTTTTACACAACAATTTTTGTGTGCTTCAAACCCTAAGCAAATGTCAGCTAAAATACATTATTTGTCAAGCATCTCCCCCCAGCTTGTGAACCTGGGTTGGAGCTGGTGCTCCAAGGTGAGCTTTGCTGTAGGCCAGACCCTGCGGAGGAGCTGCTCACCACGCAGAAGTGCTCTGGCACTCTTGGAGTGCTTCTCCCTCCGCAGAAAGCCAGTCCCTCATGGCAGGGCCCCGTGCCTGCAGCAGGTGGTTGCCAACACATGAACTACAGGAGAGTGCACATTATTTCTTGTCTATTTACTCCCACTGACTTCCACAATTTTACCAGGGCACTGGTTTCTAAAGGCATTATTATGTAGTGCTACCACTAGACTATCACACTGGAGCACAGAAGTTAGTACCTTCCTCATTAAAATATTTTATTCATAAGCAAATAATGAAGATGGAGGCAAATATTTGATGATATGAGCGAGTTTTAAAATATCTCAGAATAAAGAGAAGCAATGCGAGCTAATTAGTTATGACAATGTCATATACTCATAGAAAAAACAGGTCTAATCTTGACAGCAATTGGAACCTTCTATGGCCTTGTCTGAAATACCAAAACATACATAAAATGAGGAAATCAGCCCCATAATCAATTTACTATTGCTTAATAAGGCATCAGGAGTCAGGATTGACCTCCCCAACTTCAGATGTCTAAATGCAGGTAGAGCCAGTCACTGCAGCCATAAAAAGCAGTAGAAGAAACCTGACTATTATAAGTCTATATTGGAATAAAATAAACGGAGCTTAAAAATCTTCCGTTTTCTCCACTGATTCTAAGGGAGCACAGGACAACCTCAGCGTTATGCCTCCCGCCCCATGTTTCGCATCCAGAGATGTGTTCTTGGCCCACCACTTACGCCAAGAGACACAATTTATCTTACATCTCTTTTACGGTGACCTAAGCAGAAATAAGTGGCATTGGTATGTTCACACAGACATTTCTGCTGTTCAGCTCAAAACAGCAACTAAGTTTCAGTAACTTGTTTGTGTGCTGCACCCTCTGTAAAAAACAAGATTTGAAGTACCCCTGAGCTGAGTATTAGTAAAATGACAGCTTAATACTTCTGCATCTGTGCTTCGACTGAAGCTCTGTGACCAGTTAGCATAAATTCAGAAACGCTCAACTCCAGCAGTGTGGGTGCAATGCACTTTTCAGGTTATTCCTTACTATCTGCATCACAATACCGCCCCAAGGCGCCAGCTAAGATCAAAGCCCAGACATCCGCGACAACACTCTGTCTGCTGTGGACCCAAACACGCCACTGCAGCCGCTGAGGATATTGCTGCTTCCAGGTGTACACTGTGTCCATGTCCGCGGAGCAGACGTCGTGTCTCCTGTAGGAAGGGCAGCAGTACAGCATAAATGCTACATCTAATCCACTGCATCTTTCCCTCTGTGGGGGAGCAAAGTAGCAGACAGCTGGGCTGCCTTCAGCTACAGCTGTTAAATTCGGTACAGCTGAGTCCTAAAGAAGCACTCGTTGCTTCAGATAATGTACAAATTAGACAGGGCAACAGAGAGGTGAACTGGCTTCCCAAGATCACTCACACGGTCATGGAGGAGCCCGGGAGAAAGTCCAGACCTATCCACTACACCATACTGTCTCCCAAACTCGCTATTAAATTAAAATCTCTTATTTCTCATGGACAAGTCTTAAAACAGGGCACATATTTATGCAGCAGTGCCAATGGCCAGCATCTAACATCTGACATTAGCTAAGGGCAAAGCCATGGGGCATCAAGTTGCATGGTCTTAAAGACCAAGCAGGTCTCTGGCAAGTCTTACAGAACCAGGGGTAGGGGATGAGGGGGGGAATTCTGCTCTGTTCACTCACACTTAGATAATTGTACAGGTACAGAAGTGCCAAAGAGAGGGAAAGGAGGAGTAATTCTTTCCCCTACATTGTGAACAGTTACAGAGCTAAGCTGAAGTGACCCTTACTGCTGCTGAGGTCTCAGCTCACCAGCCAGTGAATCTACTCTTAGCTCAACATAGCCTTCTCCTACCTACAGCCAGTGCTTTACAAATTAACCTCGCTGTCACAGTGCTTGGCGGCTGAGGGCTTATTTTCTCCAGTGACAAACAGCTGATGTTTGCCTATTTCAGATCCCTGCATAAGCAAATACTGTTCAAGCGCTGAATTCCTAAGCAAGCTGAAAAATGCATTCTTTAAAACATGATTGTGTTCCAGCATTGCACAATATTAATATTGCTAAAGCTACTTAATGCTTACACATCTAATGTATATACGTAATAATTTGATTAAACTGAACTTTTAAACAACTTTTTCTAGTTATTCATGAATTACGTCATGACAAATTTCGACCAAATGTTTCATTGGTCTCTACATTTGTGCATATCATTGGTTGCACATTCAGTCTCCTCTTCTGCATGACAAAAAATTTCCACTTTTTTGAAGATTTGCTCTTCATTTGGTCTCTCTTGTTAAACAAGGTGCACCTCAGTCAGATTTCATTTGTTTTTTCAGTTTGGAAAGACCAGCAAGACATTCATCTCTCCATTTTCTCCTGGCATCCAGGACTTTCGGAACAACTGGAATTTTTTCAGACATTGCCTAGAACAGAAAATTTAAGATGATTAAATCTCATGTTCTGAGTACAAAGTTTCTCACCAGCATTGTTTTCCTGCTTTCCCCGCGTCAAGCCAAGTAACGATCCACACAAACTGTAATTTAGTCTATCACAAGCAATAGGCCACATTCTTTACATGGGTGACTGGAAACCAGCTAACCTGTACAAGAAAAGTGCTCCCACTTGGAGAAGGTTGGCCTGAATGTGGCAAGGAGGGGGGCCTACAGAAACACCAAAGCATCAGCCACTTCCCTCGGTCTGCCCCACACAGCCACTCTCTAACCTCTTCAATAAAAACCTTTTATTAATAGGAAGGAGGCAACCTGGCTGTTTATGTGCCTAAAAATATGCTCTAAACCAAATTCCTCTGTGTGTGTGTGTTTTTAAAGCTGTGATTGCTCTTCTGGCTCCTAATAAATGTAATGAGCGATATCATGTTTATTAAAAACATTTTGTCTTCAGAGTGCCAGTTGTAATTGAAATGACTGGGGAAAACAAGTAACAAACTCAGAATTATGATTTTTGTTTATTGGAATATGAGGGAGAGAAAGTACAGCACTATTTGAGGACACAAAGGTAGAAATCTGAACAAGTTAGCACGCAAAAAAAGGTGTTTACAACAAAATGGAAAAAAAAAGTATTTCTGAGTGCATAATCAAAGTTGTCTTAGAAGTGCTAGTTAAATATATCCCTGAAAGAGAACATGAGTTAGTAACCTCTGGCAGCTAGTACATTGTAACAGATTTTCTTTCAAGGAAAAAAAGCTGTTTTGGGAGTGCAGGTAGAGATCACACGGTGCTTTGCCAAAATAGCACCTGAGGTCTTAGGTTTAAAAGGCAAGTGTTGAGAAACTGGCTAAAACCTGGACCTGCTACCAACGACTGGCAAGTTGCAGTCACTCCAGAGAAAAGTCAGGGGGAGGGACAGAGGAGTAAGATAAGAAATGTTTAATGTTTTACTCTTATGAGGATTCTTGCAAACTCATCTTTGGCACTGAAGACCAAAGATAACAGAGAGACACAGAAACAGACATCGAAGTGGATTCCAGCTTTCCATAAAGAAATCCAAACTGTTTCACACTAATCAAAAGCTTCTAATCGTGAATAAGTCCACAATTATTACGGATTGTTCTTATAAGCAGTCTATGTTGTTTAAGCATAAAATAATCTTTTTCCTTTTTAACATAGCTGTTGTTGAAATTGTATAAATAGGAATAAAAATTAAATAGGAACAAAAAAGCTTTCTTCCAGACAGAGAGCTTCCATATGTGAAATTAATTCGATAGCTAATCAAGAATGATTCAACACATACCCATGTTCTTTAGCAAAGCATTAAAAAAAGGCAACTACGAAAAGGCAGTTAGAAAATAATGATACTTCAGTTAATACCTATGATCATACAAAATAGCCTATATAGTGAATATAAACAAATTGTGGGCTTAGAAATGTTAATAGACAAACTGGGTCCCAATGCAGCACAGCACTTAAACACATCTTACCTTTAAACACGCAAGGAACCTTACCAGACTGCTCACATGCTTAACTTGAACGTGTATTTGCACGTATTACAGACTGGAACTCTAGTCTGTAAAGTATACAAAACCAAGAAAAAGAGCATCCAGAAGAAAAAAGCTGTGGGGTTTATGCAGGAAGATGGAATAGCAGGAAGAGAGAAAAGTCATGTTAGGAAAGGAAGCCTGGAGCTGTGCATGTTGTGGTAGCAGACACAGGACAGAAGTAAGAAATAGTGTGGAGGATTTAATGTCAGTAACCCACAAGTGTTAGCAGTTGACTCCTCTGTCTAGTAACCTTACTCAACTGCTAGATCACTTTCCCTTCATGACTTTCACTTCAAAGTGCTTTGAAAAGGGACTTAGATGCATTCTGTACTCATCTTTTCATTCAAAGTACACATTCACACAAGAAATACAGACTACAGATACCTCTACACAGCAAACTGAAATGGTATGAATGTTAAAATAAGAGCTAACGTTCTTTGTTCTGAATGTCACTGCATTAATCAACTCCATATTTACCTGATTGATCTTCTGCTCAATTTCACCTGAAAATTCTGGAACTGGTCCAAAGGTGTTCAGAACAAGTCTCATACCATCACGGTATCTTTCACAATAATTTGAAATACCTAAAAATTGGAGCGAAAAATTGCATTTCAACAGAAATTCCTACTTAAGTTCAGTAAGGCTGCCTGTGCTTAGGCACTGTCTTAAATCAGAGTCCAAAACCAAGGTGTGCTCTTATGCTTCAGACACCTAATTGTCATCAAGGAAAAATGGATTCTGCCCACCACATTTCCATTAAGGTTCATGGCAAAATCATTTAGGACATGCTTGATTACAAAACCAATTAATGTCAGGTACCAGCAGGCAATGCTACGTGAGGGGTATAGTACACAACTGTGGATACTCATGCTTTGTTACTTGAGATCAGAAAGCTTCCCCAACCAGTGTCCACGAGGAAAGCACTCTCACCTCTCGTCTCCTCCCATTTGGTATGTGTCATATCAGTTGAAGCATTCCTGTTATTATTTTTATTTATTGATCTTGAATGCAGGAAGAGCAACATGGCTCAGGGGGAAAGGGTCAAAGGCATGGAGACCCAGGTGGCCTCCAGTGAACGAGCAACAGATGGATCTTGCAGATTAATACTTTGTATTGCAACTGGAGTTAACAACAAGGATTTGGTTTTTATGACTTCAGGACCCTCTTTGGGGGTTGAGCACTGCAAGGGGGTGACGGGATCCACCTGACACAGTGAGAAAAAAGCATCTTTGCCAAAAACCTGGCCAGTCTGGTGAGAAAAGCTTTATATTAGAAATAGCGGAAAAGTGAGATTACAACCTGTAGTCAAGTAAGGAAGGGTTTACGGGGTGTGAAAAGAAAAGAGTGCAGGGTAACAGGTACAGGAGAAGACTCAAGAAAGTAAAAAAAAAAAAAAAGGCAGAAGAGTCCACCTCTAGTGTATGTACGCAAATGCATGCAGCCTGGGAAACAAGCAGGGGAAACGAGAGCTCCATGTGTGGTCACAACACTACAACATTTTTGGAGCCACTGAGGTGTGTTGGGATGGCTCACACCACCGGAGAGCTGCAGTGGACAGACACACACTTCAGGAAAGACAAGCAAGAAAGACAAGGAGGGGGTGAAGGAGCAGTAAAGGAGCAGCTCAGATGTGTGGAGCTATTCTATGGGATGGGTGACTGGCTGGGTGAGAGCCTGTGGGTCAGCATCAGTGGAGAGGGCAGGAAAGGACAGCAGCCTCCAAGGGCAAGAATTCAGTCCATCCTGATATTCAGGGAGACAAGTAGATGTATCAAGCGATTGGCTTGGATGAACTCTGGTGCAAAAAGGCAGTCTACAGGAGGTGGAAGCAAGGACAGGCTGTAAACGAGAAATTTAAAAACACTGCCCAGGCATGTAAAGGCGGTGTCAGGAAAGCAAAAGCTCAGCTCCAGCTGAGACTTGCAAGGATGTCAAGGGCAACAAGCAGGGCTTCTACTGTTACATTAGTAATAGATGGCTGAACAAGGAAAGCGTGGGCCTGTTGCTGAACGGGTGTGTGATTTAGTGACAGGAGAAACAGGTAAAGTGGAGTTACTCATTGCTTGCTTTGCTTCAGCCTTCATTGACAAGGTCTCCTAAGCCTCTATGCTTAGAGGCAGGGTTCAAGGAGGTGAGGAGCAATCAGCACCAGATGATGATCCAGTCAGTGACTATCTGCAAGAACTCAATCCCACCTGAGACCACAGGATAATACAGACTGTATCCAAGGTCATGAAAGAAATGGCCAATGCCCTTGCAAGGCTGCTTTCTATCGTATTTTAAAAATCATGCCACTCAATGCACCAAACGCATCATCTGAGATCCCCATTTTGCCTTTAAGTGCAGGCAAATATTGCATCCATCATCAGAAAAAGGTCAAAAGAACAATCTGGGATACTATAGGCCAACCAATCTTACCTCTGTCCCCGAGAAAATCAAAGAGCAAGTCCTCTTGAAACAAATCTGGGGCACAGGAATAAGAAGTAAGTGATTGTGACAGTCAGCTTGCAGTCACCAATGGGTACGCCATGGTATAAATCACATATGACCAACCTTGTTGCCTTCTGTGATAAAACTATTGGATTTGTAGAAAATAGGAAAGCAGTGGATATCATTTACTTCAACTTTAGAAGGGCATTTGACACTATCTCCTATGCCAGTAGGTCGAGGGAGGTGATTCTTCCCCTCTACTCTGCTCTGGTGAGACCCCACCTGGAGTCCTGCGTCCAGCTCTGGGGCCCCCAGCACAAGAAGGACATGGACCTGGTGGAGCAGGTTCAGAGAAGGCCACAAAAATGATCCAAGGGCTGGAGCACCTCTCCTATGAGGCAAGGCTGAGAAAGTTGGGGCTGTTCAGCCTGGAGAAGAGAAGGCTCCAGGGAGACCTTATTGCGGCCTTTCAGTATCTGAAGGCCTTTCAGTCTACAAGAAAGCTGGAGAGGGACTTTTTACAAGGGCATGTGGTGACAGGACAAGGGGTAATGGCTTTAAACTAAAAGAGGGTAGGTTTAGATTAGACATAAGGAAGAAATTATTTACTATGAGGGTGGTGAGGCACTGGCACAGGTTGCCCAGAGAAGCTGTGGATGCCCCCGTCCCTGGAAGTGTTCAAGGCCAGGTTGGATGGGGCTTTGAACAACCTGGTCCAGTGGAAGATGTCCCTGGCCATGGCAGGGGGGTTGGAACTATGTGATGTTTACGGTCCCTTCCAACCGAAATCATTCTAGGATTCTATGATATTCTTGTATCAGAGTTAGGACATTAAAGTCTGCATGCTTTGACAACTAGACGGGCAAAAAATGGGTTGGATACTCAGGCTCAGATGGCAGTGGTTAATGGGTTGTACTCTACCTGAAGGCCAGTAAAAGTGGAGTACAGCAGCAATCTATCCTGAGACCTCTACTGCTTAACAGCATTTGCTTATAAAGTTTGTGAATGATACCAAATTGGGTGGGGATGGTAGGTGTGGAGAGAGACGGAGCAGCTGAGATATTGGAGGGCAGGGCTGCCCTTAGACAGGATGGAGGAATAAGCCAATACAAAACTTAAAAAAATTAACAAGGACAAATGCAAGGTCCTGCACCTCAGAAGGAAGAGCTCCTTGCAACAGAACAGGCTTGGGAAGCCCAAGAACTCCTGGTCCTGGTACGCAGCAAGTTGAACATGAACCAACAGTGTGCCCTGGCAGCAAAGGGGGCCAACAGCATCCTGGGCTGCTAACAGCACAGCCAGTAGATTGAAGGAAATGATTAACCCCGTTTACTCAGCACTCATTAGACTGCATCCAGAATACCGCATTCAGTTTGGGATCCCCCAATACAAGAAAGACATTGACGAACTGAAGCAACTTCAGCAGAGACCACCAAAATAGTGGGGGCTGGAGCACCTGCCCTGTGAGGAGAGGCTGGGGAGATGGACTTGTTCAGCATGGAACAGAAATGGCTTTTGAGGGACCTAACAGCAGCTCCTCAGTGCCTACGGGGGGTTGGTAGACATTGCTGAGCAGACAGCGCTGGGATCTTTACAGCTGTTGCATGGCAGGAGGACAAGAGACAACAGGCCCAATTTGAAATGGGAGGTTCAGGCTGGATACTCAAGTACTGGCACAGGTTGCCCACAGAGTTTGTGCAGTCTCCATCTCTAGGGGTTTTCAAGACTGGATGAAACCCTGAGCAGCTTGGCCTGACCTCAGAGCTGACCCTGCTGTGAGCATCTTAAAAAACATGCAGTCAGAGACCGTGAGAACCAGCTAACTGGTAACAATGGGTAAAATGGCAGTCAAGTAGACCTTGGCTGAATTAAGGAAAGGTCCAGCTTTCACCATCCCCAGTAGGAATCTCAGGAAAATTACTGTTGAGGCACCAGAGAGGAACTGGAATGATAAAGGCACCAAAAACAGAAATCAGTCATTTAGCCAGACATATACATCTAGTAGACGTTTTAGTGCTATGCACCACCACGTAACCAAGAAAGGATAAGGCAGCCTTTCCTACTGTACATCAATCACAAAGTCAAGAGTTGCACCGCAATAGTAAATGAGCCATGCTTGTCTGGCAGTAAGCAAGCTGACACGAGTAAGAATGTGAGTATCCTGATGCAGACCCTACATCTGCGAAGGGAAGTTCTGGATATCCACTAAAAGCTTGTGACAATCTCCCTTTTCTGAGAACCACAGAGACTGAAGAATTTGCATCCTTAACTCTTTTTATGAGCTAATTATCAAAGCAAAGAGGAGAAAGCTGCAGAAGACAAAGGCAAGCAGTTATGGTGACCAACTCTTTCACGAAGACTCAGGAGATCGTACAGACTGAGAAGCATCAACCTGAACTGCTCATGGTCTTACCCAGCCACAAAATGCAGGAAATGTGAGTGAGGTGGCCTGACTACCACACAAAAGAATGCAACTCAGGCCAAGAGTCATTAAGCAGTCTCTTTCCTGAACAGCTTGCAGACAATTCCCTGGAATGCAATAATATGCGATATCAATACTGTAGAAGTCACACCTGTCCAACCCTAAATGGGCTGAGGTTGAAAGGTGGATAAAGGAACAGAAACCTCTGACTACTGGCAACTATGAATCATAAACTATAACACTTATACTGCTCAACACGCCTGAAATCACAGGTTTTCCAAAAGGTGTCTGAGGCCAGTAAGAGTATGGAGAACACCCTTGTTTCTGGACCAAAGACAGAAGAACTTTCAAAGGACAGATGCTCAAGAAGTATTAAATTTCCTTTAAGAAATTAGCACTTTGAAGACATGATGACCATCAGATAAACAACTGAAAGGAGAGAATGAGAGAACATGTCCACTGCATGAGAGCAACGTGCAGAGATTTGAGAGTATTCAACTCTCTTAAAAAATGGACTAGAAATATTCTCCAGTATCAGAAGAAAGGAGGCTCTGAGAAAAACAGCACCCTTGTCAAGTAGCTTGAACCTGTATTTGGTGCCAAGAGTGCAATCAGCATTTAGTCAGCCTGTGTCCTTGTGTTATCTACCCATGGAGCACATGCATTCCCAGAACATACTCTGGCACGTTCTGGCCTTCTCCAACACAAAAAGGGAGGTCTAATTATATGGAA